CCCGAAGTAGCTTTAAGGACCCAGCTGGTAGGTTTTACAGGTCTAGCATTGGATGTCGGATTAACAAGTAGGGCACTGTCACCGACGTGTGCCAGCTTGAGACGATCAATGCCGAATACCTCAATGCGGACATATCGAGCAACCTTGAAGGTCTTTTCTTGACGAGAAATCACGTGAAAAGGTCCCTCGTATGGCTGTTGCAAGGGTTCAACTAGTATGAAAACATGCGAACAGGTAGATAACGCTCGAGGGAGAACTACCTGTCGATGTTTTTGCTCAAGTTGACACTGAAGGTAGTGCATGCATAAATTCAGAAAATCGTCGAACGTAGACTGATTTATTGAAGTTATCACTGCTCCATGGTGTGAAAAATTCCCTAGGCCGACGTAATGACGTGCCGTATACAAGTTCAGCGGCGTAACATCGAATGTCTGCCTTTAAACTCGTTCTGATACCTAAGAGGACTAGCAGTAAGGTTTCGTACCAATTGTTGTTTTCGTATGCTCGAAGAGCACTTTTAAGCTGGTGATGGAACCGTTCGACTAAACCATTCGGAGCTGGGTGGTAGGCAGTAGTGCGTATGCGCTCCGTACCAAGGAGCCGGGTCAGCGAGGAGAATAATTTGGACTTGAGCTGTTGTCCTCGGGCAGTTGTGACAGTCGAAGGACAACCGTAATGCGCTATCCATCGTTCTACGGAGCGGTGAGCAACTGTCTCCTTCGTAATAGAAGTGATGAGAATATCTTCGGGCCACCTTGTAAAACAATCGATGCACGTGAGTATGTGATCATACCCATGCGATTGTGGCAATGGTCCCGTAATGCCAATACGAAAATGATCGAAGCGAGCACCAGGCGTAGCAAATGTGCCCGTAGGGGTGGCTACGTGCCTGTGCACTTTTGATCGTTGATACTGTAAGCATTTCGTCACCCACATACGGACATCTTTGTTCATGGAAGGCCAGACGTATCGTGCAGCGATGAGATGTAATGTGGCTGCGATACCTGGATGAGACAATCCATGAGGGGCATCGAAGACCAGACGACAATAAGCAAAGGGTGCAATGGGTCGGGGTAAATCAGTAGAATTTTCACACTGGATAGTACCTGAGATGGTAGTTAGTGGTACTTCCTGGCATTGAAAGGATGTCGATTGTTGTGCTCCTGTACAAGGAGGATCATTTGCTTGGGCAGCGGCCATAGCAGGAAGATCCAGCACTCGTAAATAACTGTATTTACTTGAATACGTGAGAGATCGTCGGCAACATAGTTCGACTCACCTTTACTATGATGAAGGTCTGTCGGGAACTGAGATATATAATCCAAATGCTTAGACTTTGTATGCGAAGCATACGTTAGAAGCTTATGGTCGGTGAAAAGGATAAAATTACAACCTTCTACTGAGGGTCGTAAACGATTGATGGCACAGTAGGATGCTAGCAGTTCGTGACCAAAAGTTCTACATCTCGTCCCAGTGGGAGAAAGGCGTCCTGAGAAAAATTTAAGAAGTTGCCAACTTCAGAGATGATTTGTTGCATAACGGCTCCTGTAGCGAAATCTGATCCATCAACCGCTACACTAAGCGTGGCTTATGGGTCAGGATGGCGTGGCTTGATCTAAAGCTTTTTAAATCTCAGAAAACGCAGTACGCGCGGCATCGTTCAATTCTAGCGTGCGTGGATTACCGCGAACTAAGTCGGTGAGGAATGAAACGCCGGTAGAAATTGATCAAACCGAGAAAAGTCTTCAGTTCTTTTACTGAACACAGTACGGTGTTCTCCATGATTGTATGTACTTTACCTTCACAAGATAGAATACCCTCATGCTTAACGATGTGACCCAAGAACTTTATTTCTGCCTTGCCCAGTTCACACTTGTCCGGATTAACTACTATTCGATTATTCGAAAGGCGTTGGGATAAGAGTGTAAGATGTTGAGAATGTTCATCTACGTTTGATGATGCGATTAGCAGATCATCAACATGGACTTGGAAAAAATCGAAGTCCCTTACTATGCTATCGATAAACCTTTGGAAAGTTTGAGCAGCATTTCGTAATTCAAAAGGCATTCGCAGGGACTCAAAAAGACCGAAAGCAGTCGTGATGGCGGTTTTCTCAATATCTTTAAGAGCGACTGGAATCTGATGATATGCTCATATCAAAACAATCTTCGAATAGATAGTCGGGCCTTGAGTGATGCCGTGATGTCGTGTATGTGGGGACGGGACAGCTATCGAAACGTGTTACTACGTCTAATGCTCGGTAGTCTCCACGTGCTCGCCAACTTATCCCATCCTTTTTTCGAACCATGTAGAGTGGTGAACCCCAAGGACTGTGTGAAGGACGAATAATACCTGCAGCTAGTAAATTGTCAAACTCACGCTTAGCAAAAGCCAAGTTGTCCGGCGCCAGTCGGTGAGGTTGTGCCGTGACTGGTGGTCCGCAGGTGGTGTACCACATGATGAGTCACTTATAGATTCTCCTCTAGTGGTTTAGTAAGATGAGGAAATTTTTCGAGTAAAGCACTGAAAATATCATCACGCGAATGAAATACCTCTGTAATTCGGTACGCACCCGTTTGAGATCGAAAGCCCATAAATTTACTGTTCGACGAAATATCGATTAGCTGCAGCGTACGTGAATCGACTAGCAGTTCACAGTGCTGTAGGAAATCGATACCGAGTATGGCTGTGGGAGCATCAGCAATGACGAACGTCCACAGATACTGTCGTCGGTTGCTCAGGTTGACCGTCAGCTGTCTTGTACCATAGGTAGGAATAACAGAGTCATTCTCAGCGCTTAGACTAAGAGTCATAGGTGGAGACTTGCTGCTACCAAGTGGTACGAAAGAAACTTGGTCACCTGTGTCAACGAGGTACCTAGCGTTATTGCGGACATCGTGCACGTCAAATAGGCGACCAACCTGAGGTGCGAGGCCGACGAGTACGGCCGCATTTGCTTGTCGGCTTTGAAATTTCCCGTCTTGTATGAGCAGGGGGCTCGAAAGTGACGGGCGCCAGACCGAAACGTCTGGTGGAACCAACACCAACCGGTACTCGATGTCGAAGCCGCCTTTTGGCGTGGCTTGGAAGATGCACGCTGTGGGCGAGTACTTGCAGCCTTTCTTGATTGAGGGCGGGCTAGTGGGACGTGAAGTTCAGGAACAGTAGATCGATCTCAATAACTGAGACGGCTGCGGATACAGCAACCCCTACCCCTTTGAGCCTGAACGTGATTAGCATCGAGGTCCGCGTTGGTATGTGACGTGCAGACAACCGTATAGTTGTCTCGGTAGCTAGTCCGCGCTATAATTTTGTCTGCAATAAGGGCAGCCTGGCTAATTGACATGTCCTCGGGTAGATCGGTGATTGTAGGCTGAACATGGGCTGGTAAGGCTTCTAGACACAATTCTGTCAGAGTCAGATGTCTTTGGTCCTGCGAACGATTTCAGGCGCGTGAGGTGTTAGCTAGGTTTAGCTTCACCCAGGAGGTGACGTGCTAAAAGTTCCCTCAATCCTTCCTCCCTCGATGGTAGGAAATGTCGAAGAATCGCCTGCTTGAAACGATCGTACACGTCCGGCACACCACAAAGGAGGAAAACCTTACGAACGGCAGCTATATGATCCCCAGGTAGAGATCCCAGGGTGTAGGCGTAAATTTGCCGCTGGTTCGTAATGCGGCGGAGCTCAAACTGAGCTTCTAGGGGGCCACAAACCAGACCGCTGTATCGTGGCGGATAAACGTTACAGGTCGAAAGTTTAGAATCTGTGAGTGTGCTGAAATTTCTTCGTTTCTAAGTTTATCTTCCGTTTTCGAACTGTGCTGCAGTTGTAATATATATATATATATATATATATATATATATATATATATATATTTGAAAATAATATATATATTAACAATATATATTACTCACCGAATTTACTGCATATTCGAAGATGTGAAGATGAGAATCGAATTATATACTAATTCTTAGCGATAAAACAAACGTTAATCCCGTTACTCTAAGAATCAGATAAAAAACGATTCTGGAAGAAGTATACCTGAAGCTAGCCTCGTGAAATATAAATAATATTGAGGCCAGAGGGCGTGCAAAAAGTTAATATCCACGCAGGAGACGTACGAAGAGAACAATGGAAATAAATCGCTTAGCGCACCGGAAAGTCATTATTACAGATAAACAAGAAGTGTATAAAAATTATTGTCAGAATTATATACAAGCAAGCAATTGTGTTTACTTCGTAAGAGTGAACCACAACAAAACCTTGCTATTTGGAATATAATATTTTCCTGTTGAACTGTGTTCTGATTTGGCGACTTGTCGAGTGTATTGTTGTCAGTGAATACTAAGCAATATGTACTTATAGTTTTTTGTGTAGAATTAAGACGTCATTATTAAAAGCAACCAATCAATAAATAGCTATATCACTCTATCATCCAATCACCTTATGCCACAGCGACATCCTAGAAATTCTACCAAACCATGATTAGAAAGAAGCCATCCCAATAATAATAAGTTCTAAGTAGTCATTACTATTCAACAGAACTTCAGAAACATTTTGCAGTAAGTCATCGCCCGATGTCAACTCAGTTGCTTTGGTGCACAAACATTTACTAAAAGGCCAGGTCATAGTCTCACTCTTTCGTAAGATTCTAAATGGACACTGTGGAGAAGTCCTTTAATAGGATGAAACTGCTATCCAGTGCTTATTCATTATTAAGGTTTTTTCAAATTATGTCGTTTCTCAAAATAGCTGAAAAAAATCCAACAGCCTGTATTAAATACTAAAGTAACAACCATTAGTGTGGAACTATAATGAAGTTTTGGTTTTGAAGACTCGTTTTTTAGATGCATTTTTCCTTGAAGTATAAAGTATGAAACTACTAGATGTTCCAATAAATACAGAACTATATATATATATATATATATATATATATATATATATATATATATATATATATATATATATATATAATATGTAATAAGAATTCACTAATATGATACATTGCATTCTTATTGGTTGTTCACGGTTGCTAATGCTGTGAGTGACCTGAAAGTTAACGTTTATCATATTATACTTTCTTCAAAACGAATTAATATTTATTTGAATCTCTTAGTTATTCATTTTTTCAAGCTACTGATGCATTGCAATTTTGTGTTTGATAATAGTTACAGTTATTAACACTACATTTAAAGTATTCGCTTAAAATCGTTAGACTGAGACAATGAATGATATTTTAAAATTTAAGGAAAATAGTAATAATGGACTGGATATCCTTGTTGATGTTGGCGATGATGAAGAACTGTCTTCGTTAATACAATGCTTTCCTAAAGAATCTAATCAATTTATAATGAAGCTTAGAAATTCACAGTATAATAAATCAACTGATGCTCAATATAGTTTGAATAGCCAACCAAAACAGAATGGTAAAAAGCAACCGCATCGTTATGTTACAAATTTTGACGTTGAAGCACCATTTAGTACATCGACAACATATAGAAATACATTTTGTCATCAAACAGATAATAATACTGGTGAGAAAAAAAGTGAACCACATAAGTCTCTAACAAGTCAACCAATTTTACGGTTTGGTGAAATGCCTGTTTTCACAGATTCTATTTTATATCCCGGTCAAAATCGTCGATTACAAAGTACAACACATGAAACATTTGTTGAAAAGCCAGTATGTTTCATTTTTTGTTGGAAAAAGTTGTATTTGAATAACTTCTCATGATGTAGATTTCATTTCAAAATAATTTTCACTGTAAAATACTGTTTGTTTTATATGTTCAAACTATGTGTACTCAGGATTCACCCCTGGAAGTTAAGCTTTTACATAATCTTCATCCATTCAGTAGAACGTATTGAGTTATGGTGTAAAGCTGATTTCGTAGAACAACACCTCTTTAAAACCTGAAATGTTATGATTAAGATATTTAACAGTCAAATTATCAAGTCCAGTAAGTTTCAGGACTCGAAATTCAGTTATTTCTTATTTTCGGAACTTTCTGTTTCTATCTCTGACTAGTAGAATGTCATTCTGTTTTCAATTTATCAGTTTAGCCAATATTTACTCGGATCATTTAAGTGAAATACGATTTTGAATGCTGACTGATCAGACCATTTGAATCCAAGCAGAGTAATTGGCTTATTTAGGGAAATTCATACGTATTTCTTTGAATGCATCAGTACTGAAGCCTATGGTAGTTGATATGAGATGTGTTAACCTATCCACTGAGCTATTGATAAATAAAAAAAGAAGAGCATTCCATAAATTAACATGAAATATTTCTTCGTTCATTGTTTAAAAGCCCTAGTGGAACTATCTAATTATTGATTTAAATTCTCTAACCCGCTACATTTATAATTGTGTTCTTGAAAATGGATCACATTGCTGATGCCTCAGCAGTAAGTAGTACTAAAAACTCAGCATTACAAAAGCGAAGGCCGACGGTAACTGGTGAATTAAAGTATTTCGTAAAGGAATATTGACTGGTAAAATAAAGAATCGATTGTTTCCCACTAGTCTTTTTTTTAATTTGTAACTAGTGGACAGTGGAATAAATGACTATGATTCTAGATTACATCCAATAGCATATGAAATAACAAAGTTACCTGACCGAAGATGTCAGGCTTTATAATAGATAACAACTTAATGCAAGTATTCAACATCCAACAGTTTCAACTTACCATTTTGTCTTAACCAAATGGTTTCAGTGACAGTACAAATGTGTGTATGATGGTTTCACCGAACGTTGTATTGTTCGAGCATTCTGATCACCGAATCCCGACATTGCTCGCTTGATATTTCTCTTGGACAAAATGCCAACCATTAAGACAATCACAAAAATCAGTCTTTAAACAATGTTAATTTGAATTGACTTAAGCTTTGAACACTTAATTAACATTGCAGCATTCCTAGGTCACATGGAATCTAGTACACATAAGAATCCGTTGAAGTTGATACACCACATCAACACAATGAGATACCAAGGTTGTATATTTGTAACAGTATTAGTGGAAGTAGAAAAGAATAAATATAACTGATATGTTTCGAAATGAAAATATAGGTTTGTAGAATAGAAAGAAATTGATAAACTATCAAGGAAACTAGAGATATAATCGAAGATAAATAGTGAATGTACCTGTCATGTCACCCACTCTCTAACAATTGGCTATAGTTATCTTGTGAACACCAATTAAGTAGTCTGGACCTACTTTCTTGGCTCATTTCAACTATCAATGATTTAACAAACTGGATCCATGAACTGATTTGGATGCTCTCCAGATCATTTTACGATTGTAGTGGAAAAACTAACTTTGTCTTGGCAGCAGTAGATCACTTGTCAAGTTACCAAATATGTAGTTGTTTGTTGTCATTATTTGTAAGCTACCAGTGAATAAAATGGACGTCCAAGTTTTCAACTGTATTCTAACGTTAATCGGTTCATGGGTTCAATGGAATACAATCTTTACGTTTTTGCTAATCTTATTAAACTATTTTCTATCATCCCTTGACTGTCAACATAGTACCAATACTTTATGCAAAAAATTACATTGGAAAAAATATGCTGTTATATAATCTAGCTTGTTTATAATCAAAGTCTACTTATATGTACAAGAGTTATGTTTTTCAGATCACTTACACTGAACCTGCAAAACCAATCGCAACAAATCTTCGTTTGGAAGGAGAACGAGATTTTTTAACTACAAATAAAAGTGTTTACACACTCAAACCGATTACAGAGCGTCCTGTACATAAGTCAAAGGTAAATGGCCATTGCTTAGTGCTTTATTGTAGTAGCTCTTAAAATGTATTAATATCGCCTACCAGGACCACAGTATAGCCGAGATTAGCTGTAAACAGTACTCTTTCGTAATCTCTATGAGTTACTGAATGTTACTAGCCTGTTACATACCTTAGTTATGAGTGGATTTTGGTAGACTTAAGAAATATTCGCTTTAAGCAAATAAAGTTGAGGACGTGACAGTAAACAAACACTATTTCTTACTAGATTATTGAATCATGGCTTAAAGTGGAAACTAATACTCTCATTTTATCCTATTTTGGACCCATCATCTAAATCTACTGTTAATTCTTATATGTATTCACAAAGAGATCGATTACAGCTTTTATCATGTCCATCTGAACTCGATAGCATTTGAAGTGATAGGCACTCAATTCCAGTCTGGGCGCAAACATCAACGGAATCCAGTTTCTGTTTTAACTACTGTCTATATTTAATGCTCTCTGAAAAATTCTTCTACAGAACTAGGGCAATGCATTTCCTTTTTGTAAAGAAATCATAAAAATTTATGAAGATTTCATGATCTACGTTTCTGTTTCGGGAAAAGAAAATTATCGATAAATTTAAATGAATACTGTAATACTTATTTGTTAGAATAAAATAAACACCACCTGTTATCCCAAAAGTAATCGCAGTTACGTTTTTAATTTTCTTATCAAGATAGAGTATTTTGAAGGACGGTAGAAGAAAAAGATCAAGTGTAGAATAATGGTATCATGCTAGTGAAAATGATTACCATTTTTCCAACCTCTGGATTATAGATCCATGAAAAATTACTGCTTATTAAAGGATTACAGTAGCATAGATTGCAGACGCACAAGGTTAAAATTTGTTTTTTCTGTAATGTTGATCTACACCATTTATGAATAAAGTAAATATCAATTCATACAATCGTCATTGTTCTGGTGGTCCCTTCATCGATGAGAGAAACTCAAGTGTTACAGTTTTTGAACAGTGCATTACAGTTATGAACCGTTTTGGCTAATCATAGATGGTAATATACAAATCTACATCCTGTGTCTTTTAGTTGACTACATGAAGTTTCTAGGCGAAAATGTTTCTTCAGAAATGTAAGCTGCTTAAAACATTCTGTCTACGAAATTTCCTATATGTGGAAATTATCCTCTGTCAAATGTGAACTTTGGTATATTTTAAGCACTTATTCTGACTACTGTCGGACTGTTAATTTGTTGGTAATATTTGAAAATCAGGCTTAGCTGTATCCATGTTAAAATAAGTTGAAGCAGTTAGTTCAGAAATACTGACTTCTGACTTCCTGATCACATCTCCAAGGCGATCATTTTCTTCTTTGATGTCATTAAACAAACGTGGGTAAACCCCTCAAATCCATCAGACAACAGAGTGTGCTTAGTATTTAGCACTTGCCCAACATAGGTAATATGTAAAAAACAATTCAAAGTTTCCTATTCTATTCATGAAGTTGATCATTCAAACACAAGTTCCTTCGTATTGCAATAAAATAATTTCAAATTACCTCAATTCTCTTATATGCATATTTGTATATAAATGACCGGTGAATAAATAGAACCTGGTGACAAGGGACTAACTTACCTACTTTTGTTCTTGAGGATTTACGTATTATTTCCTCCAGAGATTCGGTCTTCTTCTTCACTCAGAGTCCTTATCATACAAATTTATTGATTAACAGCAGGTTGAGTGTGAGATGAAACCATATCTTAGTATAAAAATTCATTTGTTTAAAGGTAAATATAACCAAACAATTATATGCTTGACTTGTTCAGATATATATAATAAGTAATTCTTCTTTTTCCCGTATTTAAGATACCAAGTATTTCAAAACCACGTGTTAGTCAACCATTTTTCGGTGAAACTCAATTCCATGCAGATTTTCCACCAAATCGTGCATGGAATAGTTTTGATCAGCTGTGTTCAGTGGCTCAACATAAATGTCAGCCACCAAAAGCACAAATTCAGTTACGTGATACAAATGAAATATCTTTTCACACTGAACAACGTGATCAGTTTCAAGGTCATGATGCTCGGGTTAGTCAGTTTACTAATTTTCCTAAATATTTCTTTTATCTTCTTTATTTAACAAAACTTATTGAAATCTCGACGCTCAATTAAATTTGTTTACCCGGTTACAAACATTCGTAATCAAGAGATTGCTTATAAAAAATTTGATGGATATCAAATGTGTAAAGACACATAACGTTTACTATCTTGGTAATACTGTTTTATTGACTTCTGTTTGCAATTTATGGTAAATTTATATTTTCATTTAATTCATTTATGACGGTATTTTTTAATATATATACATACTCAATGAAATTCAATCACTTCCCATTAATTGATCATTCATTCGACATTACGTTGATATTGAAGGTTATCGAAAAAGAGGACATTTTCGTAGCTGAGTTAAAAAGAATTCAACCAATCTGTAGTGAACTGTTCATCGAGCGTGTTAAAATCTTTTCAACTGATTGAAGCCAAACATTTCATTGAGTTGTTTCTACAAATTATCTGATACCGAAAAGGACGTGTATTGAAGCCATCCTTACTTATTAGTAACCACCAGAATAAAAAGAGCTCTACAAAGTCAAAACAAAAATACTACATGTGTTACTCCGGTAAACACATCAACTACTACTTATTGATATAAGTCAATATCATAAGGTTTATATAGTCTCATCCCTAATAATTACATTAAGTGCTGGAATGAAACTATTGAAGTGAGATGAGTTCATTCTTGAGGAACTGATTTCTATAAATGTATTTCTCGACATTTGTTCACAGCACTTATCATATTTTAGGCTTCTAATCAGTGTTATGAAACGACGTTGTTATCGGCAGATACTTCTAAATTTGTTATTAAGTGTCGTTTTCATCGTTACCATTTGTTTTATCGATAACAAAAACCAGTTATTCAACATATTTAGGAATAGATCTAGAATTTCAGTTGGATTCTTAAATATACTTCAAAATTTCTAGTTTACATCAAGGAGTGACTTTAGTTAGACAGCCATTAGAGCAATGAACAGCTGTTTCATTTTAGTATGGGACTCCCTATTAGTATTCCTGACCGTAGCTGCTGTAGTGGTCGGACATGCCTGTCGTGATGACCCAACTGAGCTTTACTGGCTGCAACATATGTTTCTGAAGGTTCTACCATGCCAGGCAGGTAGATTGGAGAGCGATGGGACTAAAAGCAGCTACTCAAGTTCTGAGGGCGACGTCGTACTGCTGACTGTAGAGGGGTGTGACAGCAGTAAGGTGTTTCCCTCGGACAACCAGCATCTGCAGCGATGCTGCCTTCTCTCAAGAAAGGAAGGGTTAGAAAAGTTCGACCCTAAAAATGTCACACCTCAAATGACCTCACGGATTTCCGTCCCTGGCTGTAAGAGTGCCGTCTAAGGGCTTTTAAAAGCGGAGCTAATAATCAAAAAACCTTTCATAAAAAGGCTATGCGTGACCAACCTGAAGCAGTTGTCCCTCGGGCTCTGCACTCACGCTCCCAGGTCTCTAAGACCGACACTAATCTACCTTCCTTTTCAGGTTCCTCAAGAAACATCCTTCCACGATGTGGGCAGCCGGGAAGTGACACCCCCCTCATACCCATAACAACATACCATACCAAACTGGTCACAGTCAGATCCTTCCTACACCCCTATAAGTATTCATTCATGACCTTAGTGTGTATTATTGAGTAGATAGTATGATGTTATCTTCAATTCCTATCCTGGTTATGTAGAACCCACAATACCTACTTCAAAATAATATTCCTTAATCGAAAGTGTATATATTCGCAGTGGGAATTTTCCTGAAAAATTGTGGAAAATTCTCCATTTATTGATTTGAGTTTTTTTAGTTAACTGTTTCATAAAGATTATCAATTTTCCTAAAATTAGTTTATCTCATAGATGGAAACTGCCAAGAAAACTATTGCAGGCAACTAAGAATAACTTAAAAGATGTTTTTCGTAGTATAGGTCTCTTCAACGACGAAGTCCACAATTCCACATAAAATAAAATTCATAGCCCTCAGAAATTATCGTAACCCTGGTACCATGAAGCCACTGGACCATAATCAAAGATTTCTAACTTCAACTAACAAACGATATACAGTTATCAGTATCCATCTTCAATATGAACATACCTAAAGCAAGCTAAACAATAATCGTCTGCTTACTAATGACAGTTTCTACATGAATTTCTTAACATCCTAGTGAGTTGCTGTAATCTGTGTATGGTCAACAGTTCTAGGAGCTAGAGAGTTGAGCCTCTATTTTCTTGAATTATTTTTGGTTTTCAGTTTACATTCAGCACGCTGTTTATAATTTAGTAACTAATAATAATAGAATAGGGGACTGTGTTATGATATATTTTAAAGTGTGATAAATAATTTCTACTAAATTTAAGGTGCTTAGTCTAGTCCAATAGTAAATAATATGGAGTTAGTAGTTGGTACTGATCTCTTCGGGATTACTTCACTTACTTTTAACCCAATACTTTTTCAGATAACTTTCAAATAAGCTGCAATCTTCACATTGAATCTAATTACTAGTCACTACAAAACAGCCTATATATGTAGTAAATAAACGTAGACGAACTCGGCCTGAATCCCTTCTATGGTTAAAGCTGCTCTCAAGCCCGGGTAAAAGAGGAGGGTTGGGCACGGCGTTAGCGACCCCATCCTGTAGAAACCCAACTCGCTAAACAAACGCGTACTATAAAAATCATTCGCTGGTCGGCGACCTATGCCCTATAATGTGTAAATAGCGTAAGTAAGTAAACGGAAACAAAGTTTTGTGGTAATTACGAGTTGAAATTGTCTGTATATCTTGATCAATCATCTAATCAAAATAGGTCTACAAAACAATTCAAATCTGTAGTGGATTTTATTCCTCATTTGACTCATTAATTTTCTTTTATAACAACAGACTAATCCGAAGCCGAAATCATTCAAACTCCAACCGTCAGTTTATTGCAAACCAGTTATAAAACTTGATTGTAATTCAGTGACAAAATTGGATTTCCAGCCATACACAGTTGAACAAGTACTTAGTGTAAACTCAAAGGTAAACACCAATTTTTCGTTTTGCTTCTCAGATTTATTTTGATGACTATTTTACTTTCCCCACAGTTCCACAACTGTTCCCTGACGTCGTCTTTTCTTATTATAATGATTGAATTATTATACTTCACATCGCAAACGTATTGTAGGTAAACAACATATGGTGGCCAAATATCTGCGTGTTCTAAAGCTCGGTAATTAGCTCGTCTAGACAATCGTTACTAAGTAGCATCTAATGGTTATAGATCAGAAGATGTATTCGAAGTAATGGATACGTTTATTTTTAGACACCACAAAGCGAAGTTGAAAAGCAGCGAACAAAGCGTACGAAACGACGTGAATTGGAGAAGGATAATGAGCCAACTCCTTGGATTACAATGCGAACGAATGGGCGAATGAATAGGCGAAGCGCGTTGGAGAAAGCTAAGAGCCAACTCCGAGAGATAGAGCATGACTAAGAATACATAGTCAGACAAATATAAGACAGACATGCAACAAGCGAAATAGGGACACATGAATAAAAGCGACGAATAGTTGACAAGGTCAAATGACAAGTGGAACATGTTATGTGAGCTCATACAAACCAGACAATAATAAGAACGAATGGTACATATAAATTGTTGCTATACAAATGGCTTGGTTAAATAAATTAATCGAAAGGGCTTAACAAAGTTAGATGTAAGCGAACTGGAATATATGTGGAGATACTATAAACAAATGGAAATCAGGAAGCCCTGGAAGACAGTCTTGTCGCTGTGTACGATTACTTAGCACCTCGCATCCAAAACCAGGGGCCTAACTCAGGACTTTGGGTCTAGCGAGTAAATGCCAAACCTCTAAACCATCGGGTCAGCATCTTATGTTGTACAAGTCTGACTTCAATCATCCAGAACTTTAAACCACTTCTCGCTCACAAAGCAATAATTCTTGGTTACGAGGTCGTGGACCTGCACTTTTCAGGAGTCTCATACTCGAACAAAACAGCTGTCCAATAGTGCAGAATTTCCACCAGTTTTCTTACTTGGGTTGGTTCATGATCTCCAAAGACTAAGTAAATTTGCTCTTCGCTGATCATTTAACATTAGCTAGCAGACATGGATTTAAGATGAATCTGAGTGATAACAGTTCACATAATATGCAATTAGTCCATTTTAGTTATGCTATTAGACACAGCATTTTAAATGTAAACTGGTTTCGATGAGTTATAATGATCATCTATTAATTTTATGTCATTATTATTTTAGTCTGCCTTTGGTAGTAAAACAATACGTACGGATGACAGCGATGTACAACAATCTGGAAAAATGAAACCTGAGGAATTAAAACTACTGAAAAACTATTTAAAAGATTTAAAATCAGCGAGGAACGAAGAAATACCTAAAATTTAGCATGCTTAATTTCTTATTACTGAATATAAAACTATATTTAATGCTAGCTAGTTGATTTGATAACGGTCTCTACATATCTCTTGTTCTTTAGTTAAAACGTTGATAAAGATCCCTTGTTAAAAATTTCTTGGAAAGTATCAGTGGATCTCAAAGAATACAGAACGACTGAGTCATGAGTAAACACTACAATTTTCCGCCCATTCCATTTTTATTCAGTTTGAGATACAGAGATGTCAAAAGCGGGTAGTACGGATATATATACACTTATCTCGATGTAAACCTAAATGTTTGATTTTTATAACTGTTGAGTATCCCTATCAAATATCAAAAGTCCATCCAGCATTTATTAGGAAGATAGGTTGATGAGAGAGATTCCACATGTAATGCGATTTCGAATCTCATCAAGAGTTCTGCTTTTTAGACCAAATGCCTTACATAATGCCGATTAAAATCGGTGGAAAGAAAGCCAAAGATAGAACTACGTTTTAATCCTTTATAAGTATGCAAAGAAAACACCCTTAAAATTTTCAGATACTAATATTTGCTGATCCTGTTAAAAGGTAAAGTTTCGTTTCAAGCGAAGCACAGGATCACGATATGTTACTACAATGTTTTTCTCACTTCCATCTCACCAAACAACACTTCTGTCCGAGCGATTTTCGGAGAAGTAGAGCGGTTTGATCAAAAGGTTTGAGTGAGATAGTTAAGAGGTAATTCGGTTATATGCTACGTAAGTTTGAATAAAGCTTAAAGCTATGACAACCATTCTAGGTTTACGTAGGCTTCTATTAATCTTGTAGCGATTGCAAACATAAATAAGTGAGTTTTGAAAGTTTGATCAAAATAGTAATCCAGTATCAGTGAGCCTTCTCTGAATTGGTTTGTCACTTTTAGTCGCACTGTATTATGTCATAGATAGACTAAGTTTACATTCCTATCACCTGTGAATAAGGAATAACTTTGAGCTTATCTAACCGATTAATCGTAATTCCATCATATTATGCTGGACAAACTTGGTAGGTTTAAACGTTTAGGTCACCATTCAATATCCAATGTCCAATATCTTTTTCACGAGCTAGTATAAACCATTTGATTTCTGTGCGTTCGATTCTTGTTCTTTCGGTACGGTTCCAGATGCTCGGGAGTGTCCAGTGAATGGGGATCTAGAGAGCTGATAACCTAATTCTAGTCAGTCGGCAGTTGGTTGTGAGTTCCAGAGTCCTAGATAAGGAAGCCTGTTGCTTTATTTGGCTCAAGGTCCGGACATTAAAAGCTCGAACATGTAGATTAGAGCGGGATCTAAGGACACCAGGAATGACGTTTCGTGATCTCGAACCGTTCGCATTAGCGGTGCGGGTGGATATAGGAATGTGAGATGGGTTAGTAGTGGAGATAAGAGAGATGTTAGTGGGTGGTGGTCTCTTGTGCTATTGCAGGTATCGGTTGCCTACACCTCAGAAAAACGTTGCTTGAAGAACCTGTAAAGGAAGTTAAATTAGAGTTTTTCTTAGAGACGTGGGATCGTGACGGAAACCCAAGGGATTACTGCTTGTGGCCAGACGCGCATGGTCTTTTATAGGACGTTTTGGAAGTGACAGCCTAGCTCTTCAAGTGTCATTACTGCCGGAGACGAAAATCCGTGAAGTAAGGTGAAGTGTGACATTTTAGGGTCAAACTTTTCTAATCTTTCCTTTCCTTGTTAGAGGGTGGCGCCATTGCAGATGCTGCTTGTTCGACTGAGACACCTTACTGCTATTACACCTCTCTACAGTCAGCAGTTTGACTATTACATGGTAGGAACTAGAATGAGTTCAAGGTTACAAGCATGAGTCGTAGACATGGTTGACATGGAAAAGCAACTTCAATATCATTGATAAGTTTCATCCTGCTATATCGTCAGGAGCCGGAAACAAAGAAAATGTCCTGCTCCACAGGCAAGTCAATATTGAAATTATCACCCCACCGTCATAAATGCTGATCAGATACACCTCCCCCGTCCTTTTGTTATGTTAGGCTGTCCTACGTTTAGTGGTAGATTGCAGATGACGAAGTGAGCTTGCAAAGCATGACATTATCCAGATGGGATGAGGTACACAAAACAGAATGTGTAGTGATGATGTATATTAACAGCAATTTTGAATCAGCAACACTACACAGTACCCAACTAAATAAAGCAACAGAATCATGCTGATACTGTTTCGACACAAATGCTTGATTGGAAGGATTTACAAGTTCCTATCAGGTACCAAAACCCAAAAATATAATTTGAGTTTAGTGATGGGACAGATAAACACTGGCGGATAGTGAGAGACATCATTCATAATGCTGTCCTCAAACGAATCACACACACAGGAAAAAATATCAAGGGTCATGCAAGATACTGAACACATGCTGCAGGCGAAATGATGAGCCTGGGGAAGCTGAAAAGTCCCTCTGAAGGACTCTGGCTGTAGCTCTTACTTGATATTGAAAAACAGATGCAAGGTCGAAGTGATGGTGGATTATTCCGGAAGAAACTAGCAATGAAAATGCAGGAACAGCCAAAATATCTCCCTACGTTGGTGGATATAAGAAAACCCGCGAACCAGAGTAGTTACAGATGCAAATTTTCGAATGGCCGAGATCTTACATACTTAAAGATGGCTGAAATCTTTAATGCCAACTTCAACGATCAGTTCAATACCCAATATCTCCAATATGTTTTTTCACGAGCTAGTATAAACAATTTGATTTCTGTGCGTTCGATTCTTGTTCTTTCGGTACGGTTCCAGATGCTCGGGAGTGTCCAGTGAATGGGGATCTAGAAAGTTGATAGCCTAATTCCAGTCAGTCGGCAGTTGGTTGTGAGTTTGTATTTCTCGTTATTTGAATGAAAACCTTTGTTTCAGGGCAGTAGGTTCTCTGGATACCAGTAGCTATCACATTATCAGAACGGAGATCATTTAGTAATAAGAGTAAGATTTCAGGACTAAGTTAATAATGGATAGTTTATTAATTCACAGTGAAAATTTCGCGAGAGGAAGGAGGTTTTAGCAAGGAAGAGGAAACAGAGATAATAAGTGATCTGAGGAGATGGCATTAATGAAAAGTAGCAGATGTAAATACATTCACCAGAAGAAGCTTGTCCAATAGGGAGATGATAATCCGTATGTGAGTTTATCAAGTCTATCCTTAAAGCCGTCCACTGAGGGGGCCGTGGTCACCTTGGCTGAGAGAGCTTTTCAAGTTGCCACGAATCTTGATGAGAAAAAGTGTACACTAGCCTGAGTATTCGCTCTCTGATGTGCAATTTTTTGAGAATTCCCTCTAGAGGAGTAGTGGTGATGCTTCGGTAAGGTGCTCACGTTGGGACCGCTTGGCATGCTCAATATGTTGTACGCCATAATCAGATCACCTCCGATTCCTCTGTAACTCAGGAAGAATTATTTGAAATGCTGGAGTCAGTCTTCATAAGTTTTATTTTTCAACTTTATCACCAATTTTGTGGCTTATCTCTGCACTCGATCCAAGAGATTTATGTCTCTCTTAAGGAGAGAGGATGTGACGACGTTACATACTATTTGTTTTAATTAATGAATTTAGTAAACAACAATGTTTTCTTTTTCAAAATGCACCAGGTTACTGGTTATATCCAACTAAAAGTTTCTTGATGAACTGATGGGATCGAAAAATTTCGAGAAAAAAGACTTAGCAACACGGATAAAGGAATGGAATGCCACGAGATTGGACTTATTCAAAATTTCTGGACCAAATATGGTAAACGAAATGATTATGTTTTCTTTCATAAATGCTGAGTTAGCTCTTTGAAAAGTTTTTATATGCTTTCCTTGCTTTAGTTTTGCGTTTAGCAGCTGTATGTACTTCATTTTGAAGGTTAACAAATGCATCAGCCAGATAGCTAATACATCAACTGTCGTTGAACTGATGCCAATATCCAATATCTGATGCATGTTCATCAGTTTGAAAAGTACTCAACTGTTCTGTGGCTTCGACAGCACTTTGATTTAAGACTTCGATATTACTAAGGCTTTTAAGACTGCATAATAAATAATAAATTTACACTTTGTGTAGCAGGTTTTCCATCTCACATTCTTCAAGGCTTACGTAACTTGTTTATCGAAGGACTTTTGGTGCTTCCCAGAATTTTTATACAGTTTGACTAATATTTTTAGATATAGTAAACCAAATACATGGTTTTCCAATAAAATCTTTAAATATTCCATGACAACAAAAACAACAACCCGTGCTTTAAAATTGTTACAAAGGGATCTCAAGTCATTCTCTAGTTTCCCATATCTAATATCTTTTTCACGAGCTAGTATAAATCGCCTGATTTTTCTCGCTTTCTCGCTCTTTTGTTATGGTTCCAGGTATTTGGATATCTTATGAGTTTCAGTCTATCTACTCGACCGCACTTATTATAGCCATTTGGCAGTCCTTTATGAATGTAAATGTTCCGTGATCTAAGTGAGTGTCTCGGGGTAGTAAGGTCTCTGAATATCAGTGCTAGCATATTACCAAGTCAGAGATGAGTTGGTTGCAACGTAGAGAATAATAAAGAAAATTTTCTGATTCTAAGAAGATGAAATTAGTAAATTGGTAACGCAGACAATGTGGGAGAACCAAAGTGCGTGACCGGCCTCAATCAGTTGTCCCTTGAGCTCTGCGGTTACGCTTCCAGGTATCAAATAGGGCAACAGGCATCATTAGCTAGGACTTTAGAGTCTCGTGCCATCGATGTATGCTGCGTCTCGGAAACGCGCATACAGGATCCTAGTAAAATTATGAATCTGATTTCACCTTGTCAAAATAAAGAAGCAGCTCGATTTACTCTTTGTGTATCTGGAAGCCCTGATGGTGCTTCCCGGGGTCTTGCTGGCGTAGGCATAGCATTGAGTCGTAGAGCTGAACAATCTCTCCTTGAATGGATCCCAGTAGACAGTCGCTTGTGCGCTGTCCGAATAAACGGGACAGTAAGGTCTCGGAAAGATAGGGACACTCGTCGTTGCCTCTTCGTCGTATCTGCCTATGCCCCTACTGACTGCAGTTCAGACGAGATGAAAGATGAATTTTACAGAAAGCTTTCGGACCTTTTCCAAAAAGTTAAGCGCTCTGATATAGTTATAATTGCTGGTGACTTCAATGCCCAAGTAGATAGACTAAGTGAAAATGAAAGACACCTAGGATGATGTTATGGTGTCGCGGCTCAGAGGACAGATAATGGTGACCGTCTGTTGCAACTGTGCTCAGACAACCGCCTATTCTTAGAAAACACTAACTTTAGGCATAAGGAAAAGCATCTGTTGACCTGGCGACCTCCAAAGTCGTCTCAAGGTTGGAGGCAACTAGATCACATTGCCATCAGCCACCGATGGAGGGGTTCGATAGAGGACTGTCGCTCGTTCTGGAGCACATGTTTAGATTCAGATCATGCCCTAGTGCGAGCGCGTATTTGTTTGAGGCTTACTGAGCGTAGGAAAGACACCGTAAGAAAGCCTCTTAGGGTTTTACTTAATGATGATAAGGCGAAAAATATATTTCAAGAACAACTAGAAAGACAGTTAGGCGACCATTTAAGCGATTCCCATCCGGAGTCAGGTTTGAATGATATCAAGAGGGCTGTGGAAACAGCAGTGATATCTGCTAGTAAGGTTGACCTTAAGGCTAGAATGAAGCCGTGGATCTCAGTTGCATCCACCGATCTGATGGATGCCTGAATACTCATCCCACCTGGCTCTGAACATGATGAAGAACGAAATCAGCTTAAGCGCAGGCTGATAAAAAGCCTACGCAACGACCGTGAACAGTGGTGGGTGGCGAAAGAAATAGCAATGGAAAAGGCAGCGGCGATAGGCAACAGTAGGCAACTACTTAGACTCATCAAGGAAACTGGTATTAGGAATCCTAGTCTAGGTGAGACTATTTCGGAAAATGATGGGACTATTATTTATTCTCAATCCAGGAGACTGGATCGATGGGCAGAACTTTTTAATGATCAGTTCAACTGGCCTCGAGCCACTCTTCGGTTACCCACGATCTCCAGTCATCTTAAAATGGCTAATCGACGTAAATCCCCCTAGTCTTTATGAAGTTGAGAAAGCGCTAGGAAACCTGAAACGAGGGCGAGCTGCAGGTCCTGATAGACTGACCCCTGAGATGGTCCAGTTTTAGCAGTTAGATTGACTGAGATCTTAGGTAGAATCTGGGAACTGGACGTAATACGATCTGAATGGTCTCAGTCGCTAATTGTCCCAATTTACAAAAAAAGTACAAAAGTCTTTTTGTGACAATCACAGGAGAATCAGTCTAACTAATATAGTTTCTAAATTTTTAGTCTCGATCATACTTAGACGCCTAAGTAGAGCTTGTGAAGAGCAGGCTAGAGAAAACCAGGCTAGTTTTCGACCTAAATGTGGATGTATAGACCACATCTTCACACTACGACAGGTCCTGGAACACAGACACACATTTAGGCGTCCTACAATAGTTGTCTTTCTGGACCTAAAAGCGGCATTTGACTCAGTGGATTGTGAGGTTCTGTGTCAGTGTCTGTCATTGAAAGGTGTACCAAAGAAGTACATTAGCCTTATACAAGCTCTGTACTCGAACACCACTGGTCGAGTGAGAGCTTATGGCGAACTGTCATCTGAATTCTTTACTTCAGGTGGTGTCTGTCAGGGCTGTCCACTCTCTCCATCCTTGTTTAATTTTATCATAGACGTGCTCCTAGAAATAACCGTATCCTCGTCTGAATTTTCAGTAGACCATCTACCAGGTAGCTCGCTTATTGATTTAGATTATGCCGATGACATTGTCCTACTTGGTGAAGATGCTGACAAAGTGCAGAGTCCTCTGACTACCCTAAGCAACAATGCAAGCATGTTCGGGATGCGGTTTTCCCCCTCGAAATGCAAAATGTTGCTTCACGATTGGGTTGCATCGGCACCTGAACTAGTGAAGTAGTCGAACGTGTAGACCGCTTTATTTATCTTGAGAGTCTCATCAGTGCGATGGCCTGGTGACTGACGAAGTCTAAGCTCGGATACAGAAGGCTCGACTGGCTTTTGCCAGCTTGCGTCACTTATGGCGTAGGCGTGATATCCTTTTGCTGACTAAAGGACGAGTGTACTGTGATGCATTTCGCTCCGTTCTCCTATATGGCTGTGAAACATGGCCAGTGAGAGTAGAAGATATTCGTAGGTTACTGGTTTTCGATCATAGGCGTCTTCGAAGCATTGCTCGTATACCGTGGGACAACCGAGTAAGAAATGCTGTCGTTAGGAAACGAGTACTAGGTAAGGATGGCAGATCAATCGATGAAGTGGTGATACTTCATCAGTTGAGGTGGTTGGGACATGTGTTACGTATGCCTGACCACAGACTGCCTCGAAGAGCTTTTTTTGTGGTGTAGGAGTAGGTTGGAAGAAAGTTAGGCGCGGCCAAACCAAAACATGGAAAAAATCCATGAAGTCCTTGACGAGTGGACTTAGCCATGTAGGTAATTGTCGACTACCTGGTTGGGGTCCGCGAGATGATAATAATCGATGGTTAGAGACCTTGAATGACATGACTCAGAATAGTTCGCAGTGGCGCCGGTTCATTTATTCTTTGTGTTCTCTCAAATCCTAATCTTCTGGAATCTTCAAAACCCCTAGTTTTGACTTTCTAAACTTTTCTCACTGAATCGTACTTCTTGAATAATATCTTCTAATCCTAACCTCTTCGATTACTTCTAATTCCCTTACTACCTCTTCTACTATTGTATTTGAATTTACAATTATATCTCTGTGCTGATGTGGTATGGCAACATGAACTGATGTACTTATGTACGAAGTTCTACGTTGAATCTGACTAACTAATAGAGACTTTTAAGATTTCTGTGGTATATAAGGCTTGTTCACTTTCGATAATAAGACATCTTTTTGTTTCGTAGCACCATCAGAAGGATCATTATTGACATAAGTAAGACAGAAGTCTTCTACTATCTGAAAAGTAAAAGAAGAAACTTGTATTACTTGCTTCTCTAGGAACATTTATTCCAGCAACCAGCTCTTCACGAAGTTAGATACTCAGCTGTTCACCGAAATCGCATTTAGAAGCTTGTATCTGAGGCTTTAGCATGTAATCTGCGATTTTTTGAGTTGGAGCACAAGCTAATTTGCAGAACTATGCGTTTTTACGTGTTTCAAATGAGTTATGTGAAAACGATCATTTGATTAACTCCTTATTTTGTCTAACGGATGTACAATGTGTTTTTCAGGATATTCAAAATTCTCAAACTGTTGGTGTTTTTACCAATAGAAGTTATTAATGCTATCTTTTTTAAGTGATGTAACAAACATCAAGCATCAAAACCTTCCAAATAATCTCCCACCTCCCGTCGTGATGCGCTGATTGGCAACTTCCCAAGGTCATTAAAATCCATTCCTGATGTAAATTTGAAATAACGAAAGTCTTCTAATCTTAGTTAACCTAGATCTTCAATAAAAACAAACAAGAACTCAAATTTCAAGTACACAGTATAAAATTGTATTGTGTTGCTATATGAGGTTTAACAACAAAATATTTAATTGTATTGTAATTGTATTAGTTACCGCAATTTATGGGTTTTATAATGAGTAATCATTAACTCACATTTCATACTAAGGAATCAGACCTTTCTGGGTTTGTGCCGTAAAAGTACCTCTTTAACTGTTTTTGTTAGGAGGATAACATTAAAATTGGTTTTGTTGCTTTACACCCTATATAATTTTGTGCGTCTGTGAGAAAAATGCCAAATTCAATTCTATGATAAGCTTTGTTTTCTAAAATCAGCAAGTCACGCTCAATTAAAAATGTTCATGGTATTGTTGATGCTTTCAACACTTTGAACATAATAAATGTAAAGTTCTATGCAAATGTGAGATGCTATAAAGTTAGATTCCCTCAAATCAAATTGTTGGACAATCATTTACTGAAATAATAAATCGAAGCTCTGAGTGAACAATATAAAACATGAATCAACACAGTCTGGTTGCGGAAGTTAGGTAACCACAGCATGGTATCTTCTAAAGTGAGACAGATTAGTTCATCTGAGGAAATTATCCTTTCAAAACTTGTTGTTTCCTTTTTAGGAGTCTTATAAGGTAAGTTACCCTGAATCTGCAAGCTAAATAATACAGATGAATCAATCACTGACGCGTAACCAATCTCAAGATCACGGTGTCTACATTAATTATGCAATAAAGATGCATGCCTTTAAGGATTGATCGCATTATGACATATTTGAATACAGAAAACTTAATAAAGTATACACAAAACATCGAAAAGTTATGGAGAACACTAATATGTAAATGATGATAGTGGAGTTAGGGTGTTTGGAAAAGGATTTCTACAGAAATCTTTGAGAACTGTTTTATTTATATAAAACCAATGTGGTCTGAATAAATCCATTCGTTTTATATTAGGAATTGTTCATTTATTTTCGCTGGTTTCTTATTGGCTTAAACGCTCCAAAGTCTGAAGGTCATCCAGCAGTAGTTTCCGGGTTCGCCACAATGTGTCACATATCACTTTAGTTAATTAAATTGGATTAACTCAGACTACTGATAAATTGTGTTTAGATAAACAAGTAAATATAGATTATATGACTTATAGCTATCAGTGTAATCCATGATACTCATTTCCTTCTATATGGGACTCGTCACCTAGATGTTCTTGCATCCTAGTTTTGAAAGTCACATTGTAACTCGGACCTACTTCCGTTTAAAAAGCTTAAGACGAAATGACCATATCGATAGAATCCACAGAGGACGCATGGATGCGTCCGGGTTTGGGACCGGCAGTAGCCCCAAAGGGGCTCCAGGTGGAGTCCGCTAACAGGGATTTATACTTTAAATAACTTGTAGGAATAATCAGTAAAACGTTAAATATTTTAACCCTAGAAATACCCAGTACTGAAGATTTCGGCTAAATTGCGTTTTCCAATGTCAACTTAGTCAGAGTAATACACACGGATGAATAAATCAGAAGCTTTCACAAAAAAGAGATCTCGTCAATGATCTGAAGAAACCTTCACTTATTTATTTTTTTATCCAAAACTTCATGGTAGTCATCACTATCTTGTTGAATAGTTAGATGAATACTTGAAATCGAAACGAACAGTGACAAGATGTTTGAAACTTTGCTTTTGATAAAACCACTATCTTTGTTACAGTGTTCAGTCTCTTGCCATGTTGTTTTAAAGTTTCTAAACAGTCCCTCGTTCCTTGAGTTAACAGTGAAACACAGGGTTGAAAATATTTTTTGATGAAATAACATTTTTTAACGCTTTGTTTTGAAAATCTTGGCGAGCGGAAATGAATCAATATTTGTTTCATTCAGATTTCTTTATGCATAACATATTTATGTTTTACTGTATGCATACAGTTCTTTTACACTGAGTTGAAACAATTGGTGATTTTATTCATTTGAAATTACATTAGATCGATTTAACTTTATATTTTATCGATTGTAATATGATTGCTTGAATGACACATTTACATAAGTATAGGTGGACTAACACAAACAAGCAGGCACTCACAAAGGCATTTACTAAGAATATTAAAATACTATTCACCAATATTTATTCTTTCAAGTCACTTTGAATGTGAATATATTTATAACGGAAATAGAAAAGAGCAATGTGATTGGGGTGAATAGATAAGTAAATTTTTCACATGTATCCATGGTAAGATAAGGTATGATATTTCTAGGGTCGATCTTTTCCAGCAGTACGACTTTACCCTCAGACCTTGAGTTGCTGCTCATAGTCCTACTGCCCTATAATCGACCTGCCTGACATGTTAGGACCTACAGAAACATATGTTTCAACCGATATCGCTCGGGTTTTATGAAACGGCAGCTAATTATCGATCTATCCACACTCAGCTTTAAAATTTGTCCCCGTGTTTATTAAAGTAGTGATATAATTTTATATTAAGGAAAATATATAGTGAGCCACCGAATAACCTACACTAATCAGGACAAGTAAAGTATCCATAAACTCGAATCCTTCAATCCATATGGTTAAATCAGGCATATTAGGCACTACTTGATTCATTGAACCTGTATTTAATATTCTTTATCTTAATCTTGCGCCTTTACAAATTTTTCAAAATTCTGTATTCCTAAGCTTCATTTTTGTTCCTTACTGCTACACGTTTGAGACACTTTGACACCAAAGAGCGATTTATTCTCAGATATAGAGGGGTTTGTGAAAATTGTCTGGATTTTTAGTTTACAGTGCTGACTGATCGTAAGCAACCAATGAAATCAGGAGGCACAGGACAGTTATTACGAATGCCTCGACGAGCGTTGACACCTGGTTTACGGGTAGGCTGGAAGAAAGATAGCGGTGTTCAGACCAAAACATGGCGCGAATCCATGAATTCCCTGACAACGGGACTTAGCCATGTTAGTATGTACATACTACCTGGTTGGGTGCTTCGAGACGATAGTAACCGATGGTTAGACTTTGAATGATATGACTGAAAATCGTTTGCAATGGCGCAGGTGCATCCATTATTTGTCTTCTTTCAAATTCTTATCTTACGAACTTGAAATGACCTTTTCTAAAAAATTAACTCCTGTATTATATACTTCTTTAATGGATCTTTGATCACTAATCATTTTGATTACCACTGTTTCTTCTGCTACCTTTACCACTATGGGATTAGAATAGACAATTACATCTCTGTTTACGAATGTGATATGGCAAATTGAACTGATATACGTACGTATGATTTTCTGCGTTGTAGCTCACCGATTGACTTCAACCTCTTAAATTTTTTTGCATGTGCCTCCTCGCAGGACATATATATGCAATCTATGTAGCTTTTTCTTATTCTTACAGAATGATGAATTCAGCGGTGTTGTACGTTTCTTTTTTCGTGGAGACAATGGAAAATATCAAAGTAAATGTTTACGTATTACAAGTGCGGCCACAGCAAGATATCTTGTAAACGTCCTTGTTGAGAAATTTCATCCAGATTTACGTAAGCTTACTGCTGGACGTTATGCTATATATGAATATCATGCAAATAGTGGAGGTGAGTACGATTTGAAATATTAAGAATCGGGAATAAAAGTACTAAATTCGAGTGTGTATGGTAACTTACTTATTCGTAATGGCTATATGTTTTTGCCATCTTTAAATCGATAACCTTAATTGATATTTGTTACTTAAGCATAAATTAAATAATCTTTATTACAAGAGAGTAAGTTTTTATTTAAACTCGAATACACGATACGACAATTAATTTGATGACTGTGGTCCGAATGTTAATTAATACAGGAAGTTTAACTGACGGAATAACTAGTTATGTACTTAGTTGAGTAGTTGTATAATGTGAAACTTAATTCAAATACGTAATCAGTGAGCAATATTAAGTTACAGATTGAATCTTATTAAGTAGATAAATAAGTAGTCTTCACAGCTTTCAACTTTCGATTTTACTTTTTATGTCATGTTATGTTATCCTAATGAATGGCATGCAATTAATCCCGTTGAACAATAGGCAGTGAAATCCTAAATGAGGCTTGTGAATAATCAACCAGTTTGAAGTTATCTCTTATTGTATTCATTTTAAACAAATGCGCTCACCATCGGAAATGAATGGTCACTGAAGCGAAACAATAATTCATTAATAGCTAATGATAATATCCAAATGACTATAAAACAACATACTTGTTTGAAAATGTTCAACTAAGGAATCCTAATTCTTTTGAAAAGTGATGGAATCCAAATAAAGTTTAATTAATTATTTATTGCTTAGTCTGTTTAGTGGTTGAATATAGTTAAAAGGAAGCCTTTTGTGTTAGTATGTACTACTGGAATTTTTACTGTTGAAAGCAAGCAATAGATTACTAATCTCTCAATCTCAGAGATAGTTTTGATTCATCTCAGTAAGTTATCTGTAAACTAATGAATTTTCTGTTTTTAATTTCTGCCTCTAAGTTAGTGACACTGTTTAAAAGACTATCCATAAATTAGTTTGATTACAAATAATTTGTTACGCATACGCTTGACCACGTCAACTGATATGCTTGAATTATTAAGAGTTCAGCTTAGTCAGTAAGCGAGAGCCAGACAGTGCTCCAGTGACACGATAGGCTCCTCTAATCCGAGCGTCTCAAATCACCATTGAATAGAAAAAGAAGACTTGATATGAAGTCATAAAACGTTACAGATAATGCGTATTTATACAGTTAAGTCGAATAGGAAGTATGTGACATTGATAGTTAGGACGACCAATAGGAAATGACCAATAGAATTAGACTTAGGATATTTGGTGAATAATTTAACACGTAAGTGATCTTCAGATTGAACATAAGACTATTGTGGTAGATAATGTACTCCTAAGGATTTAGCCTCTTGTATACTCAGTATGGAGACAATTTAAGTTGGTCAAAATGTTTTAAATATCGAGGAATACAACAACTTAAAACATTTCTGTATATGTTTTTAAGAGTCAAAAATTTAGGAACTTAATCAGATCTTATTCTTGATTTTTCTGAAAGTTTATTATGGGACGTCAGTAGCCATTTTTATCACGAAAATGAATACATCTGTCTACGTCTGTAGATATTGAACTGTCATAGGAAGACATCTATAGTACATTGTAAATTCACTGCAAATATATTTTCAAATAAACTTTTAAGTACTAACCATCCTCATTCTATGTACACCGAGTTCTAGTTAATTGAACAAACCCAACTATATATATATATATACTGATGATGATACCTACCTTGATTATTTACCGTACATATTTATGTTTTAGTTTGATCTTCTGTATTCTTTCGTTCATTATAATATCTTTAGAACGACGTTTAGGGGCTGATGAATTGCCTCTACTAATTCAATTAGAATGGACAGCGGAAAATCAGGAGGGAAGGTTCGTATTACGTGATGAGTCGAAACCACAAATAACAACTCGTCCTGTAAGTAAAACAATTTAAATTCATTTTAGTCCCATTTATTACTAATATACCACTGGAAAGTTACCTAAATACACTGAAACGTTTTAAAATCATCATAACTTTTTTCAACATCATAACATAAAGACAGATTAAATGAAGTCGGTTTGAACCCAAGAGGTGTACTCACTGATTTCAATAATTAAGTATATGATACAAAACCTGAAAGTCCTATATCCGATCTCTGGTGTTATCACTACTGAAGAATCTCTTACGAGGATGAACCAAGAATCAGATTCCCTCTACCTTTCATTGTTATCTCAAATGAAATCAATATATGGTCAGTGCAGGCAACCCATAAATTAGACGAATCTCCATAAAATTCCTTTGACTAACTGGCACTTTTCTTCTTTATTTCAATGAGGTGTGTTCGCCAAAATAAATTTGTCGTCTCCAAATGTATAGATCAACAAATATCGCTAGAGAAAGTCTCAACCCAAATTATCGATTGATCCCACGTTTTGTTTGTACTTCTCATTGAATGAACACCACTGAGCATTACAGAAAATTAGATTTCTTTTGTAAAACGGAGGATAGAAGTATCATACATATTTTGCTTATTATGATTGAGTTTTATTCTCTCTTCTCCGTGCAATGTGATTTTATTTTCTTGGTTTACGCCCCTGATAATAGCAAATGACTCATGAATTGACCAATGATTTGTATTATTGTTATCACTATTATTATTATTATTATTATTGAAATAAATTATACTATTGTTTATCTGTTCTATTTATAGATTTATTTAACTTTTCCGTTGGGCTATCCCAATAATTTATAAATTATAAGCATTGATTCATGTACCTTTGTCTTAACATAATTGTATTTCCTTAATGTGTACTGGATAAAGGAAAATTCATTAGTCAACTGATTATCAAATATTTTAATGCATACCATAGGGAATCACGATCTCAACTATTGAACCGTTAACTTGAACGACCTTGATATGTTATTTTACGATAGACTGGTTTAAATATAGCAACGGTTTATATTTAAGTTAATAATATTGAAATAATCCACCCAGAATGCTTATACGCCAGTAGAGACTAATTACTTGCAGTCTTTAACATCAGCAGCGAGATTATATTAACCCTTACAAAGAAAATTTATACTTGTTGCACTAGTTAGTGGCTATCTCAATACATTAATAAAGTGGATAACACATCGGCATTAGAAGCGATAAATGCTGGTTTCGAGTCTAAATTTGAACCTCAATAGTGCGATAAAAATACGTACAGTGGACGAGTTATCAAACTGGATGATACACCCTATTTTCTATTGCTATCCATTATCCAACTTTATTGATTGATAATTAGAGATAATTTGGTAAGTAGCCCTGAACCCTGGTTAACACTCATTAGTAAGTGATTTACGTATAATTTTGACTTTATTCCTCCTTGATAGCTAAAATTCAATGAAGGTATTACTGAAGATTAGACAAAGATTTCTTCTCCATTTTCTTTCCTCCTACTATCAGATCTTATCATTTTCTGATTTATTAAAGCAAGAAAATTTAAATAATTTTGATTCTTTACTTAGTTTAACATTAATTTGATCAATTATTGTTAACATAATTAATCACAGAATGACGAAGAGAAGAAAACAAGAACTACTTTGCTCATATGGTGTTCAACAAGTCAGTATGACTCAATATGGTTTATTTAAGGGACCACATTGAAAATGGTATATTTGTTTGTGTAGACTAACTTTATACTAGTCTGATATATCACACAAAATCAAACTACCTTGGTAACCTAAATAAATACAACTTTTTATTGTTGTGGTCACCAAATGAACCTTGAAAGTGAAGAACAGAATTTCACATTGTTATCTTTGTTGCTGTTGTTGTTGTTGTTTAGAGTGAGAAAATCGGTAACAATGAGTTTTGGAATTCAGTTTTGACTTAGTTCTTCTCTTTGTCTGTTTTTTGTTTATAATAGCGTGAGTGTTGAATATGTGTGTATTTGTACGCGTGTAATCGAGTATCAAAATTATAAAGTTTGAGATTATAAAAGAATTTAGACATGTGGACAATTGGACTCCAATTTACGGTTAAGTATTTCTGAGCAAAATTTAATATAAATGAACCAGAACATCCACTTCCTCTTCCTTTTCAATGTTTATCTAACTGAAATTTTCATAAGCTACATTTTTGGTAACAGAATTAAGTCCAGCACTAAAATTCAATTTCGTATTTATCAGTTGTACGCACATGCTTCCCAGTATTGAAGAGATTTTGAAATCATGTTTTCTTAAGCTATTCAATTTTATTCTGAAAGAAATTGATCAAATTTAAACAATAATCTTATTTGTTAACTAGTTAAAAAGTCTATAATTATAACAACGTATTTGTTTTGGTTTAGTTCACTATTTTTTGATAGTGATGATGGTTTTGTTGTAAAGTTAGTCTCCAGTTACATCATCCATAATGAAAACAAACAATTATTAATAGAAATGTCCACGTCTGTAGAATGCAACACTGAAAATAATTTCCGTTGGAGTTAAAATTCTTCCCCAGTTATGGATTATTCCATGCCTTAGAATCTATCAAAACGGTTTAGATTCATTCACTAATTGTCTTCCCTCAGATCTTGAATTTCCAATTTCCTCTACTTTTTTATTCCACAAATCCATTCTTCTTGAATCATACTACAGTATCTAATGTTCGATCATTTCATCAAGACTACGTATGACTCACATCTTTTTTGAACAAACGCCACTTAGCCCACCTACTAACATTCTTTACAGTCTATATTTATTATACTGACTTATTGAATTTTATTATCACCACTAATCAATTTTGTAAATATAAGTGTTGGTGACTGTTCTCTGTGTTACTTTAGATAACATTATGGTATAAGAGCAGAAAATTTTTCGAATTTATACTCACTTGTTCGGTTGTAAATACCACAAAATTTAAGCACATTTGTACACTTACAAATCATAGACTTAAACTATCTCGACTTATCTATGCAACCAAAGACTATGATACATACTACCCTATATTCTGTTCGGTTCGACATTCGATACATGTAATATGATAATGAGTTAAATATGAATGTTGAAAAAATAGAATACATACAATTATTGTATCAGTTTTAATATGTAACTTCAGTATTTCTTCAAAACGAGTATCAAATTTACATATATATGTATATGATGCCTGTGTGTTTCTTGTTCAGTTTCGTTGTCTATGTAAATAATTGTTCAATGTTCAATAAGTCTTATGCAAATAAAATCATTTTGTTTATCCAAATTGAAGATAGATATAACTGATGTTTAGAAAATGTTGGACAAAACTTAATGGAAAGATGACAATTAGTAAATGTAATAAATAAGGGTTTTAATATTGTTATGAACTCTGTAGATGATTCGATTCTTCGTGTATGATTAGAACGGATGTTATAGACCTTAACTTTGTCAGACAGATTTTGTTGTTTCCAGTTTTGAAAATGTTATTCTTTAAAAAATACTAGAGGAAAAATTGTGTACATTCGTTCAACTGTAAATAATATAGGCAGTCAATCAGTTATGATCATCATGGAGACTGGCAAAGATGTGCATCTGACAAAATCATTGCATCACATTATCACAATGTAATAAAATATAACAAGATGAATTGCGAATTGGTCAAAATAATGGTAGCAGAAGGAGTTTTAAACAGTGAGAATATCTCTTAAAAAACAAACGAAGAAGCTATGTTGACTATGATCACCAATAAATACTTATTACGGGCCCATCACTAAGAAGAAGGCTTATTCCATAGGGAAGAATATATTTGCTGGCGATTTCGTGGTATCGAAAAAATACCGTGCTAGAAAAGATGAGTGAAACTACAGAGACAGAGTGGAGCCAAAATCGCAGCAACACAAATGGAAAGTTTGCGCGTACAGAGTGTAATAGACAAAAAGTAAAGTTAAACAATTACTGGTACAACTGGTTATAATAATGAGTGTTTCTATTAAACCAATCGCATTCTTATGATAAAAGTGGATCCACTACAATGTATAAAAGAGTACTGGTACTCAAGATATACTAAAAGATAAAGAAGTGGAATCATTGACTTCATTGTGACCGATTCTTAGTTATGTCACTCAGCATCTCTAACCACTGACTGCATGGATCCCAACTTGATAGTTTTCATCTACCAGCATGATTGAAACCAACAGACAATGACATCATCGACTAACAACAAATTTTGTTTTGTCTACCCTCTAGCTTTTTTCCCATCTACATTTTATGCCACAAAAGCTTAGTCAGTGAACACTAATAATGTACACTTCAACGACCTATAAAAACATTAGTTAAACACCACTAGCGATCAATGTACGTCAGAATTAATTCCTGTTGGATTTTAAAACCATGTACCATATAGAAGTTCAGCACTCTAATTAAAATAAATTTACTTCATAATGTAAATGATTTTCTTAGTTTACTAACCAATAATGAACGATTATTGATTGCTTCCAAGTTATTTTCACAATTTCCGAAGCAAACTAATCATAAGTTTATATGACTAAGTTGCTTAGATCCTTCCAGTTTTTGATATAGAACACTAGAATTCAATCAAATTATAAGCAACTGTATACACCTTTATTCATTGATTATTATTAAGGAGAAAGACTTATCGAAACAGTTCAGTTTGAAATCATGCTGAATGTCCGACAAAATTTATCAGTGGTTGTAGATATGCATCCCTGAAGAGTTCCATATAAGGAAGCCTCTTGGTCGTCAAAACTTATCTAATCAAAACTATGTCGTGATATGAAATTGCTAATTTGAAAATAGATCACACTAGTGACCAAATCCTAGTCCTAATGTGTTGTATTTAGACCACTTTGTCGTTATCCAGTAGTTCACATTTCCAAATTCAGTCACTCCATGATATTACATAAAAATCACTTTCTGTTCGTGATACCTATCAAAAAGTCTTCCTAAAATTTAATAACCTATTTGCGTGGTTAATCACCGGGGGACAATTATCATTGAAACGGAAAATGTGTCCTGCGGTCCTCCAAGTTCGCTACTTATATGTATTCAAGCCTAACCTAATCAACTCGTGAATGAGTATTCAGCTTTAGTTGGCTAATTGAATAGAACGTTTATGCACAACTGGTAAATATATTTGCCCCTCAGAAAGGTTTGTCATTTCTTTAACTAATAGCATAAATCTGCTTCCCCCTGCTGAATATTGACGAATAATTTGTGTAACCCGTTATCGCTCACTTATCAGTTGACCATGAGCAGACATTTATGATAGACCTAACCTATCATAGGTTAACCTTAGCTAGACAACCAATGAAAACAAGTTAATTATTGTCGTTGTTACTTTCTCCATAACGTTTGATGCTACCATTATTTAAACACATTTATTCTTCCATCTGTTAATTTTATCTCGTCATGATGAGATGGTGTAGCATATTAAGCTAAGGCACACTTATACTAGATTCTATGTCCATTCTATTGACTTGGTAGTTGTTTTGACATTACATCATTGTAATAACTTTTCCCCATTGTGTATTATCACTAGTTATACATAGATCACTGATCATAATGTTTTAATTCTCATTTTTACAGGATTCAACTTATCAAAATGGTTCATCAACAGTCATAACATCAACGTCACATGGATTGAAACAAAAAACAAATCGTAAATATTTGTTAACTACGGAGAATAACACAGAGGATAAACAAATGCGTGGATTCGTTAGACGATGGTCATCTGGGTCAAGAAAGAGACAGCGAAAATCCAGTAAAAGTCGTTCTGGTCTTATAGATGATGAATTAGAACAAATTCCTGATACTACATTTACACGAACGTTATCTAATCCCGATGAAGTATTACGCCGACGTCGGCAACAACGAATACACAATCGAAATCAAGCTATCGACACAGTTGATGGGAATAAAAAGGGTATATATATTTATATATAATTGTGATTTGGGTGTGGGTAGTAAACAGTCATTACGCAGGAATATGTATAGATCATGGATGGAAATAAAGGATTATCAGTCTTGTGAACTTTAGATACTCTATGTAAATGAGGATATTTTGCGCCCATATGTTTTGATAATTAAATTAATTATTTGCTAATATTATTCATACTCACCGATTTTAGTAGATTCGAGTTTTGTTCTTCGTGCTTGATAATTAACTCATTCTCTCTAAAGTTAATATTGACTATAAAAATTTGCTCTCGTCTTTTAAAATGGATATATTTGTAAACAAGCTTTTTTAAATCGATCATGTATAGTTCTTTATCAAGTTTATTCAGGATATTATCAGGATTAACGCATGGTCCCCGTAATGATTCACAGTGCCAATAGGCAGACACTTGATGTTTCACTTCCTTGAAATCCCCATCTTGGAGATTTTAACATTCTTCCTGTTGTATGTCTGTTGTATAGATACTCAATTTTGGTACCCTCACTAAAACAGCTTATCAGTAGACCTGTAGTTAGCATTCTATTAATAATAGACAGTTTAAAAGTCTATATGAATATGATCTTGATATATGGACCTCAATCCTGATTAGTACTGTTACATATAACTTTGTCAGAAATCTATTATTAACTCAGTTATAGTAATTATGCATCACTTAATCCTATTTCAAAATTCATGCAGACACTCGATCATATTTCTCCACTTCTATCGATAACCAGCGTGTTGTTCTACTTCAAAGAGAAGTTGCTTGTATTCAAATTCAATCGTAGGTGTACCGATGATATAGTCTCATTTTGACTCTAAAATAGTACAGTCTTGCGGCAAACGTATACAGCACATTCCAAATATCTAGAATAAAAATATAATCACATCTAAGATATTCTTCTGATCTTTTAAATACTAAATATTTTTCTGCAATGATATCAACTTGATACACAGCTTATAATAAAACAACTTAAGTGTTTGGGTATGTCGACCACTCTACGCAACCAAGCTTAACAAGAATGTAATCTCATATTATTTGAGTAATAGCTAAAGAGCCTTAATTATTTTCGATCGACTTTTCCTCCTCATATTCCTCTTGGTAATTTGAAGGCTACTTAATTAAAGTGGATTACGACAATGCTATAGTCACTCGTAATTTATTGGGTAAACCTATTGTTACGCATTCACGTAAGCATTTCATTTTGATGTGCTTGAACTACTACGAGTTTACCTTGGTCGGAAAACGAGAGCGAGGATCGAGGATCCGGCGACACAACAGGCTACTCTAATCCGTTTGTCCCAACCCCCCATTGAGTAAAAGAAGAAGACTTGATATGAAGTAAAACCTGTATTCAACATGCATCCAGAAAGTACGAGGTCCGAGTCCAGAAGAGAATCAAGATCCCAGACTAAGGATCCAGGTACGGGTCCGTGTCGTAAAACGTTACAGATAATGCGTGTTTATACAGTTAGGTCGAATAGGAACCAACATTGACATTGATAGTTAGGACGAGTAATGGGAAGCAACATTTAAGTATGTGACAGTTAGGATGACCACAATATTGACCAGTAGAATTAGACTTACAAATAATTCTCTTAGGATATTGCGTGAATATCCTAAAACTTATTCAAGAAAAAAACGTAGAATTATACAATTAATCTGACTTTATTATTATCGTGGAACTTTTTATATGTATCTTATATGTACGTTCCATTTACTTTTTCTAGGTAGTTTAGTAAAAATTTATGGCAGTGCATTAAATCCAAATATACCATACATTTTATTACCAATATCAACCAATGATACAGCTGAACAAATTGTTTTATGGACATTAGAAAAGTACAATTTTATGAGTCATGTTGATCCCAAAGATTACTGTTTAGTTATGGTGAATCTACCATTACGTAGTGTTACTGACAGTGATGGGGGTAACAGTAATGGAATGAATGAAGTTGAACATTTACCGTAAGTTCACTGGTTAGGGTTATTCTTTGATAATATGTTATGACTCACATTCGGAGCAACTAGCATGTAAGTAGGATGAAAGGAAACCAAAGAGTTATCAAAACAAGATATTAAATTTCTTCCAACATACGGGATAAAAATAAATCAGTTTATTCATTTCTGTCTAAGTGAATGATATGTGTTTCATTATAGTACGGCATTCTCAGTGAACAATATGGGTTATTGCGTAAATTCCTAATTATCAATAAGCTCCTGTTGTAAAAATTCAGAATGTATATATCAGAAGTTTTCGCTGATGATTGTTTGCCATTTATCTTTGATTAATTCTAACCCTTACAACTATTGTTCACCGGATACCATATGACGCATATGTTACATTGGTTATGCATTATAGAGCACACGTATTGCGCTCCCTATGGTTTAAATTTCAATGTAATGTGGTAGCCTCGTACTACCAAAATCTAATCAGCTAGATCAGACTGTACCGCCGAATGAAATCTATACTTTCGAGTCATAAGTTTGGTTTCAACTTACTCACTGTGCTGATATGTGATGTGATAACGTCTAGCAATGCACATTTGTCCCTGATCATGAATTGGTGAAGAGTGATAACTAGTTGAGAAATCGTCCAAATCTAAAGTTCATGATACTACGCATAAACGAACTAGATATCGTAATATAATTCCATCAATTTTTGGCCAAACATTTTATCGATAACTCAAAGGTTTAAAAATAGTTATCAATAAAATTATGATAGAACATGAGCAGCTATGTGACAGGATAATCATAAAATATAAATTGTGTCAATTCGATATAAAATCACTTAGTCCGGTACAACGTAGAACTTCATATGCACGTACATAAGTGCAGGTTGCCATACTACACTAGTACAAAGATCCAATTGTCAATTCAAATCTCACGACCGTAGCTGTTACCTTGACGTGGTGGTCGGGCGTGATTCACGTGATGACGACACACAGAGCTATTTTCTCTGGAACTTATGTTTCTGTAGGTCCTACCATGCCAGGCAGGTCGATTAGAGAACGATGAGATTAAAAGCAGCAACTCAAGGTCTGAGAGCGAAGTCGTACTGCTGACGGAGTGTGACAGTAGTAAGGTGTTTCCCTCGGACAACCAGCATCTGCAGCGATGCAGCCTTCTCTCAAGAAAGAAAGGGCTAGAAAAGGTCGACCCCAAAAATGCCACACCTCACCTTACCTCACGGAGTTCCGTCTCCGGCGATATGGCCTTCTAAACAAGAGCGTGGCTAACACTTCAAAAACTTCTCATAAAAAGGCCGTGCGTGACCAGCCTGAAGCAGTTTTCCCTTTAGCTCCGCGGTTACGCTCCCAGTTTGTTAAGACCAACACTAATCTACCCTCCTTTTCAGGTTCCTTGGGAAACACGTTTCCACGGTGTGTGTGGACGGTAAGTGACATCCGCCCTCAAACCCGTACCAACACACGAGACGAAATCGGTCACAATCAAATCCTTCCTACACTCCTCAACACCTCTCTTATCTACATGACTCAAGCATCTCACATTCCTTTATCAACCCGCACCTCTGCTGCAAACGATTCAAGTTCATGAAACGTTATTTCTGATCTTCTGAAACCCAGTTCTGAACATGTTGGAGCTTTGGATGTACGGACATTGTGTCAAACAGGGCAACAGGTTTCC